GCCTGAGGAGTCAATAGTGATTACATAGAATGGGGAAAGAATCTCTTTCTAATAGGATGAATCTGAAGAAAGTACAGGACTAAACCTTCCAGCTATCTGGCAAAATGTTTCTGGCAGCGTGAAAAGCAAGTGCAAAGGCCCTGAGGCAAACACAAGCTTAATGTAGTATAAGAACAATCTAGAGCTCTGCAAGGCAGAAGCACAGTGAACTAGGGAAATATTATAGGAAAAGACATTAGAAAGTGGTATGGTTTATATTTAGATGTCCTGCAAGAGCTTTTTGCGCTCAGAGGCAGAGATTTTAGAAGTTATTCTCCTTGAATTACTGGGGCGCTATAGCAGACCTGCTGTAAGTAAGTGGAGCCTCATTAGAGGCAGGACACGGGGGCCTGACCTGGAAGGGTGTAGGTCCCTCTGCGGCATGGCTCCTCCCTTCTCTCTCTTATTCCGGCCTACTGTGATGTGGTAAGCAGCTTTCCTCTACCAGACCCTTCCACATGCATTTCTGCCTTGAGCTGGCCAATGGTAGACTAAAACTGTAAGCCCAGACAAGCCTCTCCTCCTCTGAGTGGCTGGCTCATGTTGGCTATTTCATCCCAATCAGAAGAAAAATCAAGTTTGTGCCTACCCATTTTAGGGACAGATTTTAAGCACTTTGCTTTGACTTCGTGTGAGAGAGGAATTAAATAGATGTTGAACAGAGGAATAATGTGACTTGTTTTACCACTCCTTCACAAAACCTTACTTAAAAAAAAAAAAAAGCTGTGAAGGTGAAGAAAACTTTAGACTTATTGAAAGTTGCTGCACTAACCACTTTTATGTCACCCTGACAAAGATATCTAACATACACAATTTGAAGGAGAAAAGATCAGCTGTGGTTCATCGTCTCGGAGGGTTCAGTTTAGGGTAAGGTGGCTCTCGGGCCAAAACGATGTGGTAGAGAAAAGCTGCTAACCGCAGGGCAGCCAGGAAACAGAAAGGGAAGTGACAGGAGAGGGGACAAGTTTTACCCTTCTGAGACCACCCACAGTTACCCACTTCCTCCAGTGAGGCTCTGATCTCTAACAGCTCACCCGGCTGGGAACTCATCAGTCAACCCATGGAGGAGGTTAGCACAAGCACAATCCAATCACCTCCACTTGCACCTCAATCAAGTCAAATAGCCAACCTGTCTTAGACATTAAAAAATAACAGTGAGAGTTCCAATTTATTTCTCATTCAGCTTCCCCCACTGGTGACATGTTGCACGGTGTATTTGCCCATGTTAATAACCAAAATTACATTTAGGCACATTCCCAACTTTATTTGAATTTTGTTAATTTCTCCATTAATAGTGTACTACATTAATTTTAGCTTGTCTGGCTAGTCAGTCTCCTCTGGTCTGTGACACTTTTTCATCCTTCTTGTTTTTTCTTTTTATGTCTTTTGCAATCTTGAGTGGTAATGGCAGATTATTTGATGGTGTAATAGGCAAAAGGGAGGATGCTTGCTAGTGTGCTTTTAAAAATACTTTAGGTCAATATTATCTGTTAAACACAGCAATGAGCATGGGAGTAGAGAATCTGCACGTACTGTTTAGGAATCCTATCAGAGAAGTTCTCCGAAGCAGAGGTTTGAGATGTATAGCCTCGTACACACAACAGAGGGTTAGTGGGTCCACAAGAGCAAAAGTATTTCCATAGTTACACTGAGAGATCGTTTGATGCATTCCAACCATGCTGATATTTGTATATTTCTAGTGCTGAAGCAGTGGTAAATTAAACATTTTTTTCCTTAATGCAAAACATGATATTGGCACCAAAACTGCTCAAGTAGTCTTGTCTTCTGCATTGGAACAAGCTGATATTAAAAGGAAGTGTCATTCTCAGTTAGGAACATCATTCATGGAGCAGCAATATATATTGCTTCGATACAGTCTTGGTACCTGGACATAAGACTTGCTGTTTGACAGGACTGGAAGGACATTTCTACATCCTTTGGTAGGATGCTTGTCTTGAGGGAAAACACTTACACGACCGAGTTATGAGTTGAAAAGGTGGTCTTTTCCACAGTGTAACAGTTTTAATTAAAGCAATTACTAATAGACAAACTACAGTTATTTAGACTTGGGCATGCGGCAGATATTATCTTTAAAATGGTATAAATAAGTTTGTCACTACAAATTAATGTGCATTCATGTGAAAAGTAGACTATTTAAAAACTTGTACTCATTAGTTAAAATCATTTTAACAATAAAATTGACAACAATAGCAATGAGTATAATTTAGAAAATATTTAATAATCAAAAGTCAGCATTTGGAAGATATGTATAACTCAGAACTAAGTATCACAAAGATCAATGAATTACATTAAACAAAATTTTATGAAGGTAAAAAATTATTTAAAGTGCAAGATGGGTCAATGGAATTAGAAACAACAGCATGAAAATTTATTGACATGGCTTCAGTCCTACCTGAAATTAATCATTAATAAATTTATATATATTATATTTTTGCATATGGAATGTCAAAAAATTCATGATTATTTTAAAAAGCCATATGCTTTTCTTCTGTGAACTTACCTGTACAGAGCTGCATTTTCTTCCTATATTTCAATGAAAACATCATATTGCCACAGGAGGAATGCAAAAGCCGATATTAGATAGATTCTCATCTGTTAAATCAGATATTTATTTGCAAAAATGTAAAAGAATAGAACTTTTCATTTTAAAGATTGGGAGGAAGAGGTTGAAGGGAGGGCAGGGGAATGGGGGAAAAAATAACAACCAAGATTGATTATGTAAAGGTGCATACAAGTTTCCAACAATGAATGTCATTATATTGTATACATTAAATGTACCAATAAAATTAATAAAAGTTAAAAAAAAAACTAAAACTGAATGTCTGAGAATTGTTACCCTAAAGGACAGCTCTGGTCAGGTCACTATACTTCATACAAATTCTTACTGATATTTTAGTTTGGGAAGCATTGGAAGAAATCATTTAAAAAGTAACTGATGATTCACACACAAAAATAAATGAATACAGTTAAAAAGCACAGTAATTATTATATAAAAGAGAATTATGGGAAAATTGTAGCAACAAATCTTAAGAGGTAACTACTTTGCTTTGTTTTGTTTTGTTTTGTTTTGTTTTTAAGAAAAGCCAATCCTCAAAGTTATAGAATTTCTCTCCCCCATCTCTCTTGTTATGCCTTTATAGCTCAGGAAAATATACAAATATTTAATAGACTACTTTTAATGATTTTTGTCTGTTTTTTTAGACCATGTTTCCCAATTTTTTAATATTTTATTCCAGGATGCTTCCTTAAGCATTTAGAAGTTTTCCAATAATGAAGCATATTATATATAACTTTTAAAGATGCAAATTATCAATTTTTAGTGTATTTATAAGTGACTGTGGTTATCAGTAGTTATAATTTTAAAACAATTATTTGATGAGAGAAAACCCAAAAACATTGGTTTAAACAGATTTATGTAATGAATATTGATCTGTCTTTCTTGTTCCTAGTTATTATGACAAATCAAAATTTGTTGATTTATGATTGCAAGTGATTTGAGGTTTTCAGTATGTGAATCCGAAGAATTGGGATTTAATTTTTTTACGTCATAGTTATTTTCACCTTTATTTTGGTGAAAGTTGATAAATGAGAACAAAACTATTAATTTTTAAATTATATGTTCTTATTTACATGCTGGCATTCCAACATTACCATAATTTTCCACAATTGAAGCTTGAAAAGATTAATTTAAAATAAAACAAGATATTTTATATCATCTGTGAAGTAAAATCTATAGCAATGTATTTGCCTAACAAACCACCAAATCTACCTGCAGCAAGTTATAGCAGATAAAATATTAGTTCATTTATGGTTTTCACTTTCAGTTTTCTTAGAAAAACAGTCATTAACCATACTCAACCAAATTTCACCAAATTCAACTTCTGTCTTTCTTGAAGAGTTTGTGGATGTTTAAAGAGATGTCCTTTGTGAGAATTTGAAGAGAATGACTTGGCACTATTCTCTGCCACTCTTCAGGACTCCTGCATTCTCTGTGAAATTACGTAGTGAATTTAATAATGGTTCCTTCAATTTTTAATTTGTCTTACAGAGAAATTTCAGCCAAAACGTCTGAAGAAGAACTGTTGCCTAAAAAAATCTCTATGTGAGAGTTATCTTCAGAAAACTATGTTTAAAGTACACGTAGGGCCCAACGAAATAGTCTTCTGGGTGAGCAAATTTAAAATACTTGCTTTAAAAAAAATTACTGAATAACTAGGGTTTTCATATCTACGTGGGCAGTGACATTCCATTCTTACTGCCAATGTCTATAGTTATGAACCTGACATAGTTCTTATCCATTAGAATTTCTTCTCTTTGTGTTGAAATCCACTCTCAATCTCTGTTTTTGATTTTCATTGCTCTTCCATTTCTCACCTGCGTTTTGATTCCTTTTGCTGGGTTTGCCTCAAGTGTTCATGTCTTCATCTGAGAAGGCTGCCTCAGAAGAGGTCTCCATCGGGTCAAGTGTCACGAGCTTCCTTTAACTAAAGTTTGCTTTTCAGCTTTCTTAGCTAAGCCCATTCAACAGATGTTCGTATTTGTTGTTGAGCAAGTCAGGGAGCACTGTAGAAAAGAATTAGGGGTAGTTCAACCCTTGATTATTTTCCTAAAAGTAAAAATCTTGAAGCATTTGAAGGAAAGTTGTTCTTTCTCCTTTTTTCTTGCTGGCTGGCTTGATCTCTACCCTTGTAGAACTCTAATTTTCATGTTTATTTCTTCCAAATGAAATAAAACTTTTTGTGTGCCTTCATTTAACTTTGCTCCCCATACATTTTTATTTTAATCAAAAGCTTTCTTGAAATGAGTGAAGGCCAGCTACAGAGCTAGTTTATGTCTTTAAAAGCTTTGTTTATTACCCAGAGTGATAGTCTATCAGAATGGATTCATTTTGGCCCAAGGACATATTATTGTCTTGATTGGGCTTATACATCAAAAGAAAGAATTAAAGGGTTCTGATGAAAACTTTCTACCCGACACACAGGTGGCTGAAAGTATGTGCTATCCTTTCTTGGGTCCTTTTGTCACCTTTCTTAGCTTTCTTGTTTTGAAACATGATAATAGTAGTATTTGAGTTTTCTGGGATTTTTGTTCTATATTGCATGCTGTGAAAGGATTTTTCCAGGTTCTGCTTCTGGGCTCCCTCTGATCTTGTGATGTTAAACACGCTGCTGCCTTCCCTCGGCATTACTCTCATCATTTTCTTCTCCACTTGCTCCACTTCTGTCCTGTGTATGTGGGAGGGGGCCGGATAGAAGATGTGAGAGCAAATTTAGTAGAATGGCAGAGTAGGGGGATGTCAGGGAATCACACTGTTGAAAAAAAAAAGGCCTCTACAACTTCTAAAGAAAAAAAGGATCGGCTGTACTGGTCTTTGCATTTTTTTTGCGACATAACCACAAAAGTTAACTTTTTTCCAATGAAGGCTTTAAAAAAAAAAGAAATACTGTCACTTTTCTTTGAATTTTGATACCATTTAGTCCCTGGGACTGTGTCCCATGAAAATTCATGGTTTGTTTTCTAAACACTAAAGAATGATTTATGTAACTCAGATCCTATGTTTTCTAGTCAGACCAGTGTCATTTTGACCTTGAAGAACTGTGAATTGTAATGAAAATAAATACTTCAATAAAGCATGACATCATATTTTGATTCATTTTGCATTGTGTGTGTTTAAGGAAATACTAGAACCTCCTTTTGATTGTTTTAATATCTTGGGAAATATGTTGACTTTTGCTTTCTTTCTTGCCCTAGGGTCATGTTTGGAAATTCCACTCAGTATTAAAACCAGATCTAGTCCATCAACAACAACAAAGAAGGAAGAATGTTGGATTTTTTTTGGACTACATATCACTTTTTAGATATTCCCCTAATGCCAGTCCTTATGGCAAGAGATATATATTCAGATGAACCCGAAAGAAAGTAAAATGTTGACAATTTTAAATCGAAGAATAATCTATACGATCAACCACCTTGTATGTAGTATCATTCTGCTGTCCAAAGCTAAGGTTTAATCTTTTTTTTTTTTTCTTTTTGATAATTTTTTTCTGGAATGATGGGCTGAGATTACATAATTGAAACAATCTGCATGTGCTAAATGTATTTGATTGTTGTAAACATAAGGACTAAATTTTATATACCCCATAAGCTTTGATGGTAAAAAATTAGAACTTGGGAGGCTATTTCATATTTCATAATCATCAGAAATAGTTTATATGCATTAAAAATGTAGCACAGTTTCTGACACATATATCTAGGAGACAAAAATACAGATAGGATTTTGTCAATTGAATAAACAGAAATATATTAAGCAAATGGAGGACTAATATTTCCCCTTTTTAGAGATTTTTGATTCTAAGTGAAACAATGCTTAAAAATAAACATACAGTAGACAACCAAGACTACTAGAAAAGAAACACTGAGTAAACTTTAAACTGACAAAATTATCTGCTCGCCCAGCTCCCTAGTGAAATATGAGTGCACTGTGATTAAAAGGGGAAATGTTGCTAAAATTTCAAGTTTTGATACCTGGTGTTTTTATTTAGGAACATACTCAAAGTATTTTGGTTTTATATTCTAAAACATCAGAGAGTAACTCACAATTGCTTTTGTTAGCATATTGAAATTCTAGTGTGTTTTTTCTCTTTCTCTCTCCCACTCCTACCCATCCCCAGGGAATAACATATTATAATTGGTTCCAATGAGGCCCCTCTTTTGTTTTATTTATTCACTTATTTTCTTTTATGCATATACTCCATTTTCTTTCTTTCCCTATTCAGTCATCTTTGCATATGTTCTGTTAAATGTGTCTTACTGAATTTGTACAAATAGTTTTTAATTTTAGTAAATGATGTTGCATATTGGATTTCTTGTTTTTTAATCAGATCAAATTTTTCAGATCTATTCATGCTGCTTTTTGCATATGTAATTCAGCGCTCCTGCATATAATTTCTACTGTATGCTAATTACTGGTTATATTACAATGAATAAATTACTTAAACTAGGGTATATTTTAAAGAAATCAATAAAACAGTGAATGGCATCTAGGCATGGTGGCACACAACTGTAATTGCAGCACTCTGGGAGACTGAATCATAAGAATTACAAGTTCCAGCATATCTTGGAAAACAGACTATATCTCAAAATAGAAAGAGAGAGAGAGAGAGAGAGAACAGAAGGGAAGTGTCAGGATTTGGTTCAGTGTAGAGAGTCTGAATTCCACCCCAAGTAGCACCCAAAACAAAAACAAAACAAAGCAAACAAACCACAACAAAACAGTATAAAGGATTTACAGTGTTTTTCGTAAAATAGTGTAAAGATGAAATGTACATACCCGAGACAGGTATCTTGCAAAGAAAAAGTTTTCAATGGATAAGAACAGTTATTCTGTTTCAAGTAGTATATTATGGCGTGACAAATAGGAGCAAAGATGGTGGGAAGAATGTGGTTGTAATATGTAAGAGGAAACTCGAGAATTGGCAGAATTAGAACGTGAAAAGCTTCTCTATAATGTAATGGGGAATTTGTGCATTACATTGTAGGCCACAGTTTCCATGAGAATCACTTAAGATTTAGAATTGATATTCCCAGGCCATACCCACACAGATTTGGCCTACACATGTGGTTTAAATAAGTTTTCAAAATACAACAGAGTGGACTATATGTTTCAATTATGCATCTTGTTAAGTTCTACATTTCAACTTGTTAGTGGGAAAGAGTTTTCATTCCTAGATATGTTTTTAACATTTCAAGTCAAAGAAAGTGAAACACTTTGCTAAAAAAAGAATCAATAAACCTCTGAGGTTGGGTTTGCCACCTACCAACCAGTCTTGTCAAAATCATTTTTGTCTTCTTTTGTTTGCCTCTGTTAATCTCAAAAGCAAAAAGAAAAATTATCTCTTCTAGCCCTTTCAGTTTGTGGGAGAATAATCAGTGTCGTTTCAATAGGTATCGGCTTTATAATAAATAAATTAATACAATGAAACTCTCAGATCAACATTTTAAAGCAACCTATTCAGGTGACCCTTAGGCTTGCTGCAGCTTCATCCCTTCTTGTTGATGGGGGAGCGAAGTAGCATATGTTTTAGAAAACAGTGATGACCAGTGTTTAGCCACTAGTCACATGTCGCTATTGAAATTAAAATTAAATATAATCACATTTTAGTCGCGCTATTGCGCTAAACATTTTATATTTCCAATCAGCACCTTTGTCCAGTTGGAACTATGTTAGTGCAGATATAGGACATTCAGCTCCTTGTAGAAAGTACCTTTTAAACCATATTTGAGAAGATTATTCTAGTGGGAAACATGGAGGGTACAGTAGATGAAAGCAAAACTAGAATCTAGTTCAAAGAACACATTAGAAGTCAAAGGAGAGTATCAACAATGAGGTGATGGTCACTATTGTTGAGCATGGCGGAGTAGCTGAGTATGGTGAAGATCAAAACTATTCCACTTCATTTAACTATGGGGAGGTCACTATTGTCATGTGTCACCTGTCAGATAGGTGAGAGTGTACTGGTGGTGGCCAAAGCCAGCTTCGGGAGAAAGCTGAGGAAGATGAAATGGGGAAAGTCAACAGACAACCCCAGTGGTTGGACAGCAAGCATTTTCAGGTGTTTTTCTTATAATATTTTCTATCTCCCCAATTCAGTGCAAATAATATTACGATCATAGAAAATCGAATAAAAGTTCTTTAATGACCTTATTTTTGTTTGGTTATTAATAGAATTAAAAAAAGAAAATGGAGGGAAGGGAATGTGGAGTTATAGGAATTTTCTTTTAATTTTTTAACCATGTACTGACTAGGGAGGAGGATCAGGAGAGAGGGAAAACAGAGGGCCGGGATTTAGCTCAGTGGTTCTGCTGCCTGCCTCACAAGCACAAGGAACCCAGTTCGATGCTCAGTACCCCCCCCAAAAAAAAAAAAAAAAAAGGGAAAAGAGATCAGAAGAAAGATTGAAAATAAACAAAAGTGAGGCATTAGAAATTTAGTGGCAAGGAAGTGAAAAACCATGTTTTTTCATATGCAAAACAGTTTTCATTGAGAAAATAAAAAAATGAAACAGAAAACAATTTCAGAATAAAAAAATCACTCTAAAATTGAGACGCATAATTCAAATAGTGTTTTTGTTTTTATGAAGTGTACATGCTATTGTTAGTAAGTCCCAAAGAACAATGAATATGAGAGCATTTCAGGACATGGTTTTTCTAGCTTTCAAAAAGTCACATTTCATTAGTGAGACAAAATACCAGCTTCCAAAATTAAGGGGTGAGAAAATGGTTGATTTTTCATACTGCAGACTGTTTTGTAAAATGTTAGAGAAAGTAAAGTTCTAATGATCCAAAGAAGCTTTTTAGTTAAGCTCTATACTTTGAAGGATATTTGGTATTTATAAAGGGAAACCAGTAAAAAGACCACAGGGAGGCAACAATAGAGATGGGACAGTACCAGTGAACATTGTATTTAAATAACCTGGAAAATTTTGACCTTCAAAGTCATGGAAAGATTGATGAAAGAGCAAAAACAAGATCATCAAATAACTTGTATTCCCTTTTTGTGATTATGATGCTCACTGTATGGAATTTAGAAGATAAAAAAGATTATAAGGGACAAAAATTGATGCCGGGGATTTAATTAACTTAGTGGTTCTGCTGCCTGCCTTGCAAGTACAAGGTCCCAAGTTTGATTCTGGTATTAAAAAAAAAAGAGAGAGAGAGCACAGGAGCAAATCTAGATCTTTGGGCCAGGGGATTAAGTTCAGTGGCATCACACCTGCCTCCCAAGGACAAGGTCCTGAGTTCAATCTCTGATACCAAAAAAATAAACAAATAAATAAATAAAGTACCAGTTACCCAATCGTGGTGGTCAGATGTTGATACTTTAAACATTTTCTTCAAATAACTGTATAAGTACAATAGTATTTCTAGATTATAAATCATTAAAACATATTATATAAAAATGATGAGCCCAAATATGTCCATGTCCTAATCACTGGAATGTGTGAATATGCTTGGGTAGATAATGACAAATTGTGTATTACAGGGCGAGGGAAAATTAAGAATGCCAGTGGATTTATTTGCTAATCAGCTAATCTGGAAATAAGATGATTATCCTGCATTATCTGGGTGGACCTAAAATGATTCAGGGCCCTTTGAATTTGGAAAAAACAATCAGAAGGGTTAGCAGTAGAAAAACAAAAACTAAGGCCCGATCAGCTGTTACTGC